TGTTTTCTACTCTGTTATATTTGCCTATCAGAAGCTAGGAAAAATTGTTGCCCCCTCCCCCGACAAAAAAATCTTAACTCCTAGATTGATTCTGGGTCTCTTGGGATAACCTCAACATAAAAGTGTTTTTTTTAAGGGCTGGTAATGTTTCATTTCAGAATAAGTTATTTTTCTTTAAGATTCTCTCAAATATATATATGTTGTATATATATATATAATATTTATATTATATATACATGTAATATATATTTTTTACCAGAATTACAATTTTACTGGCCTGTACAAGAATATAGATATTTGTGCTTCTAAGTAGAAAAGCAGTACACTATTCTTTATTACACAAGGGTCTTAGATAACTGATACGGCAGTCCCATTCATCAAGGGAAATTCCTTCCTTCCACTATACATGGTAGTGGCATAAGCAGATTGCTATGGGTCTTTGATCACAAAAAAATGTTTCCTAGTCTCAGTAAGGTGTATGGGTCCATAAAGAAAATAGATCAGATGATATATTTTCAACACTAGAAATAATGCATACAACCTTCGTAAGAGAATCTTTTAGGGCATGGACCATGACTTCTACAAATTTATAACAAAGTCCATGGGGCTGGGCATATAGTAGAAAACTAAGAAATACCTGAAGAATGAATTACATTTCCATAGGCAATTTTATCTGCCTACTGTTTAGAAGCACAGTTTAAAATGGTGGTGTGGCAGAAGGCTTTGATATTGTAAGAGATGTAGGAATGACTATGGCTCCTTTCCCATCCTGTAGGTACTCCCCTACTTCTGTGTGAATGCTTACAAAGTCACTGATAGAACTAAGCATTATGATATGATCAGATGGTACCAAATGGCATTCTCTGACTATGTCATAATCATGTTGTGCTCCTTGGCTCCTAACTCAATGGTTCGTACTTAACGAGCCAAAGAATGCCCCGAACAGTCTAGCTTATTTAATAAGGTGATTTTGTTTTATTTTCTGCCGTGGCAATATTCTCAATCAAGAAAATATCAGTCAATGCCTGTCTTGTATGTGTAATACATTCACTTTCAACTCAGTAAATAGGTCAAAGCAGTGTCCTCTGACTACCTCCAAAGTGCAAAATAAATAAATTTTTAAAAATTAAAAATAGAGATTATAGATATGTAAATTTTAGCCCCTGATGAGAGCGAGGAGATAGAAAAAGTAACATCCTAAGAATATAGGCAGGGCTTCTCTAACCAAAGACTGGTCATCACAATATGGTGCCCACATGAAGAGTTTGGGTGACTTAAAGAAATGCTAATAATTTACTATGAAATATAAGGCTGATTTACCTTATTAAAGGCTGTTTAATGTCTAATAGCTGATAAGTAGTAACACAGCTATTCTTTGTAGACTTGCACAATCAGAATTTCATTTCCGTAGCTCAGAAGATTCGAAGTTCATGTTTCTGTACAAAGCAGAAGTTTCTAGATTGTACTAAATATATGTAAACTTTTACATTTAATAATCAATGTTTTTTAGGGTGTAGGATAGATGCCAAAATCATTTTATTCTCAAATTAATTTTTCTGTCCATACTTGCATATTTCTATTCTTAAGAAAATGCAAACGGGAGGAGAAAGTAGTATTCTTGAGAGAAAACTGCATGCCAGGAAGTGCTAGCTTTTAGCCTTTGTGTTTTTAACCAAATTACAAGTATTATTTGTTTAAAAAGGTATATGTGAATGTATACTGTGAGGCAATTTTCACCGAAATAACTTCAGCTCTGAAACATATTATGACACCAAAAATGTCCCAAATATATAATAAAACAACAAACTTTAAAATATCACTTTTAAAGTTTCCCTTTAATTTTCTGATGAAACATTTAATATGTGCTATTATAGGAAGGTAACCATTAAAAATGAATATATTTGAATTCAAAACTAGATTTTGTTTTTTACTCAAATCTCTAAAGTGTTTGACAATTTGACACTGTATTTTACTAGTCCTAATTTATTTAATAATTCTAATTTTATATCCAAGAAGTATATACTTTTTGTCTGCCCACTTTTAATTAGTAAATTAGTAGAGTGTGCTTATTATTAATATCCCTGATTCTGAACTAATGAATTATTTAGAAAATGGTAGTATTTAAATTAGAAAGTGCCAACATCGACAATGGCACCTGTTGAATGCAAATACAGAGATCTTCCTCTACTTGTGATGATAAACCCATCATAAGGTGAAAATAACCGTAAGTCGAAAATGCATTTAATACATCTAATCTACCAAACATCATAGCTTAGCCTAGTGTACCTTAAACGTGCTCAGAACACTTACGTTAGCCTGCAGTTGGGCAAAACTAACACAAAGCCTACTTTATAATAAAGTATTGAATACCTCGTGTAATTTACTGAATACTGTACTAAAAGTGAAAAACAGAATGGTTGTCAGTGATGGGTTATTCACTCTCGTGATCGTGTGGCTGACAGAGCTGAGGCTCACTGCCCCTGCCACTGCCTACCTCATCACAGTATTGTACCACATGTCGCGAGCCCGGGAAAAGACTGAAATTCAAAATTCAAAGTATGGCTTCTACTGAATGTGTATTGTTTTCTCACCATGGTAAAGTTGAAAACTCTTAAGTGGAACCATTGTAAATTGGGGACCATCTGTAACTACTTTCAGCAATCCAGCAATCAACTAAATACCACATTAACTACAAGACAGAGTAAAAGACGCCAGATTGTCATTAAACAATATCTCTTGAATACTTTCTACATGTCAGACATTAAAATAACCACTAGTGAACCCAATGACCAGACACATAATGTTAGCAATAGGGATAATATTTATATAAAAGATGGTGGGCATGGAACCCTTCTGTGTTCCTTAAGGTCAGTGGATGATTTAATAAGGAGTCTGTCACCTTTATCAATTCCTTATGCTTGACTTGTATTAAGTAGTGGATTCTCATTTTGTTTGGGGTGCGGGTAAAAGGGGTGGGTCAAATGACACATTACTTGAAATAAATATAAACTCACATTCTCTTTCTCCCTTGTCTCCCCTAATTATGTTTATTCTCTATATTGTTAATTGTGGAGCAAAGAAATTATATGTCAGTTTTATAAAGTTAATTAATTTTATCCCAGATTTCTATGATATGGCTGCCTACATTTGAAGAAGGCTACAGAAAATGATGACTGAAAAACCTACTGACATGTAACTGATGGTCCTATCCATCCTCAGCCCATGGGAAGAGTGTTCTTTGATGTATGCCTACTATTTGTGGTCTGTTACTATTTCTGACCCTGACTCTTGGGTTCATTGCCTTTGCTCAGAAAGCGTCACCCAAGAGTTTAAATTACACTTTTGCTAGACGTTTTAAAGAAGGTACTAATTATACATTCATGGTTTAGTTTAGTTCATTGCTCTTTTGATATAATCAAAGACAATACAACTCAAAAGTTGTCTGTCATAATCTTCTTAACTGTCGCCCATTGTACTGATGTCACAATTACATAAGAGCCACTTCAACAGCTCAACTAATCTATGGATATATTTAGTCCCTACTCTCAGAGGCTTTTAAAAGAGCAAATCATAATCCAAAATTTGAAATGTGTTAAAATGACACTGGTCATAAGCGTCCCAACTGCTACTAAACAAGTTAAAACAGCATGATAAATTTGCTAGAGTCCATACACCCCTTAATTATAATGAATAATCTTTAGAATAAAATATTAATCATTTAACTTTTTCTAAATTTATCATTTCATCTTTCTACTGTTAATTTTCTTTCAGTTATTACTTTTATGTTATTTGGTTTTAATATAGTACTAATACATTTAAGCCAATATAATATTTTTCTTTAAAAACAAACAAAAAAATCGATGTAGTAAACTGTTAACATTTTAACTTTTTAAAAAGATGGTCCCCAAGTTGCACAGATAGAGAATTTAAGTGATCAAAATAAATTAGGACAGCAAGTCAAAATTCAAACTGACAAAACACTTGGGTAAAAAAGTAACACAATGCAATTATACCCCAATAAAGATGTTAAAAAAAAATAAAAAAAAAATAAAAAAAAAAAGTAACACAAATCTTCCTGTTTTAGGGATCACTAGATTGTGTTATTACTTTTATATAATCGACAAAGGAAGAACTAAAGAAAAAACAAGACACAGCAAAACCCAGAAAATTAGATCATAATGAAACAACTAATTTCTGGATGCCTTCGTCTTAAGGCATCATATTATTTCACTTGGAACCATTCACTGGGTTGGCACTTGTTTACCTGAGGTGTTCAGTGCACCTCTCTCTGCTTCCCTGTCCTATTTGTACTTTTGACAGAAAGAGGAGTCTCTCTCCAAACAAGGCTAGCTTTGTAACAAAGCAAGCAAAGGAAACAAACAGGGCACTTGGCAATTTCCAGCCACTTCCAGGGAAAGACAGCAAAACTCTCCAAGTGCTCTTATAAGCACGTATTATGGAAAATACTTCTTTAAAAAAAAAGGTTCCTTTTTTGAAGACTTATTAAACATTCCCTGCCCCTCATTTGGAATAGAAGCAGGTGTGGAAAGGGTCCTGTAAGTATAATTCTCTGCAGAAGTTCCACCGAGAGGGCAGTTACCGTTGTCACCTGCAAAGCCTCTGCGGCTGCGAAGACGGGACTCCCAACACCAGAAGCACAGGGGTTGCGGGGCGGGAAGTATCCGAAGTCTGGCCAAGTTGAGAGCAGCCGGCACACGGGTTTGTTGGGCGGGGAATCCCCCCACCTCACGCCCGCCAAATTTCTCTCCCCTCCTTCTCACGTCCCGAAATCCTCCTCTCCTCTCCCTCACACGCCCCTAAATCTTCTCCGTTCCCTCTCACGCCCCCCAAGTCTTCCTCTCCCTCAAACTGCCTCCTGGAGTCACTCGAATTCCCTCTCGCCCTCTTGAGTTTTAACTGACTCTTTTCCCTTAAGATAACTCCGTTCAAGATCCCCGAGTTCCCGCGCGACCGCCGGCTCCCGGCCCGCCGACACTCACGAGAAGAAGGGATCATCCTCAAAGCTGCTGCTCAGCATCCCGAACATCCTGGCTCTGTCTCGGGCGGCGGCGTTTGCGGACAGATTGGAAAACGATGTAACGCCGCGACCGCGACCCGAGCCAGCCGGTCCAGCACTTGTCGACGCTTGTCTCCCAGTCGCTAAGGCAGTGCCCGTCGGGAAAGGCGGTGCTTGACGCGGAGCTGCTTTCCCATTGAACGCTGGTCCCATAACGTCACCAAGATGAGGCGGGGAAACAATGTGCCACTGCCACGGCAACCGCCATCAACACAGGAGACTGGAAGTCTGGCCACGCGCCAGCCAGGCAACCCATCGTGAAGCCTCGGGTAGCACAAGATAGCTTGTTCTCTGGGCTGCAGGAACACAGAAATCAGTCTACCCCTTGTGTGACCTTGGGCAAATCCCCCTCGGCCTCGAACCCCAAGTCTCTTTTCGGGAAAATGGAGATGGGTCAAGATTTAGGCCAAATGGCGTCCAAAGACCCATTCACCGGCCACATTTTGTGATCCACAGCAGAGTCCTATATCCAAAATGCTCTGTGGTGGTTGGTCGGACACTGTGAACAAATAATAAGAAAAGATATGCAAAAAGTTTTTGAGTACAGTTAGTAAATAGTGTACCCAGTACTTGAGGGAAATGGGATGAGGCCTATCAGATTTCAACAATCTTTGCCTTTTGTGAGCCTGAACTGAAAGCAGTGTTTCCCAAAGTGGGAAATGCTTAAGTTTTACGTAGACATGTTCTTTAAAAATAAGATGAGAATTTTGCTCTCTTCCATCCTCTTTCCAGTCCCTATTTCAAGAAGCAAGTCTCACTTTGATGCTGGTATGTCTTTAACACCTTCTCCAGCATTCCTTAACAGAGTAGGACTCAGGCACAAGGCCTGCAGCAAGCAGCCGTAGCCAACTAAAATTCCATTACTGTATATTTTTGTTTTAATTGTATTTATATCTGAGCCTTCTGTTTATGGCAAGTGAAACTGGTTTTAAATTTAAAGCAGTAACTAGTCTTTAAACACTAAGTGAAAAAGTGAGCTAATTTAAGGAAACAGTACAGGTGGGATTTGGATATGTTGGGGGGGAGGGGGGAGGGCATCATGACAGTGGTTCTCATACTATTGAGCTTTGGAAAACACTGTCCTGAGAACTTGCAGGAGCCTAGAGAAAGGTGGAGAAGAAGAAAGAAAGAACATTAAAGAAAGAGAAGAACAATTGAGTCTAAGAAGAGAGAAAATGCACCTTGCATGTCCATCCTTAATTAAGTGGGCTCCCCAGCCTCTCTAGAGGGCTGTCATGTGGAGACAGAGTGTTATCCATGGCTCCACAGGGCCTCCTGGGATTGGGCCAGAGAAGTGGCACTCTGCCAGAGTGAAGAAGCGTGCAGGGCCTGATTTGGAGGTGGCAGGAGTACTCAGGGTTATTTTGGGAGCCAGAAATTTAATCCTTTGGACCTTTTACCTCCCCACCTTTAGCCAAGTTCTCTGGCAGCCCCCCTTTCCCGAGACTGGTGACATGAGGTTGGGCAGCCTTCACAGCCCAAGTTGAGATAGTATAGCCCTTCCGGGGAAGAGGATATTTTCTTCCCCAGCCTCAGAATGAAGTTCAGAGAGCATATACATATTAGGGATCTTCTTGACTAGTTTCAAGGCAAAAAAAAAAAAAAAATAGTTTTAGAAGATCTGAAATTATTTTCTCTTTAAAATAATACAACACAAGATGTTAAGGAGGCCACGCTTTAAAAAAAAAAAACCCAAAAAATACTTAAATGAAATGGGGTAAGTTATTTGTGATAAATGATAGGATTAAAATAGTTCTGGATTAAGGTCAAATAAAGCAACTTGTGAGAAGTTTTTCCCTCTTGTTCCCATTGGGATTTTTCTTAGAATTGCACTGTTAAAACATGAAAACTTTAGTCCAGGCACAGGTTAGTCAGGGAGTTACCTGGAGCTTCTAAAAACAGTTTGGGCCTAATGGCCAATGCTTAAAAAATAGTTAGTAGAGGAAAAAGGACAGTTGAAGCTAAAGAGACCTCATCAGTTTCAGATCAGATAGGTAAAGAGGGAGGAGGTGAAAGACGAGGTGGGTTGGTAGAGGATGAATACTAGAGGAGGGGAGAATAGAGATGCAGAGCAGGACTAAGGGGAGAAGGTCTTGGACTTGGCTGTAGATAGAAAAACAATAGCTCATATTTACTGAATGTGTGCCAGGCACTGTTATAGGCACTTCCTGTGTATTAACTCATTAAATCCTCACAAGATTTTTATGGAGTAGCAATGGTTTTTTATCTCCGTTTATAGGTAATGCAACCAAGACACAGAGAGGCTAAGAAAATTGCCAAAGTTCACACAGCCAGTAATTGAACTGGGTGGGGTGCCTGGAGTTTTCCCTGGTGGGGGCTACTTACACCAATGTGGGTGATGGGCCACACTTAAAGATGCAGGATGAAAGCAAGTTATTATTTCTCAAAATTATGCTGACAAACTAAAAAATGGACCCAAATTAAACAGTATAAAATTCAGTGGGAATATATTAAAATCAATTCAATTCAATTGTACAAATATCTACTGAGTGCCTACCCTCTGTCAGTGATTGATCTAGACACTGAGTTGTTGGTGAACAAAACAGACAAAAATCCCTGTCCTCCTGGAGTGTATATTCTTGTGAGGGCAGAATGAAAATAAATAACGTAGAAAGTAGTATGTTAAAAGGTGATAGGTGTTAGGGGAAAAAACCAAGCAGGGTAAGGGGGATGGAGGTGCGTAGTTATAAACAGGGAATTCTGTGTAGGCCTCATCGTGAAGGTGAATTTGAGCAGGCTCACTGGAAGGAAGTGGACATGTATTGGAAGAGCATTCCAGGCCAGTGCAAAGGCCCTGAGGTAGCATGTGCCTGGTGTATATAATGCACTATCTATTCATAGGTCCTGAAACTTACCTTCAGAGGAATGAGATAAGTCAAGTAAAGTGAAAATTACCTATAAGGATAATAGCTCCTGTTTGTACTTCTTATGTTCCAGGCATTGTATTAAGTGCTTTGTATACATTTTCTCATTTAATCCTTACAACAACTCTGTATACTAAGACAGAGGTCCCCAACCCCTGGGCCGTGGACCGGTACTAGTCCGCGGCCTGTTAGGAACCGGGCCACACAGCAGGAGGTGAGCGGCGGGTGAGCAAGCGAAGCTTCATCTGCTGCTCCCCATTGCTCCCATCGCTCGCACTACCGCCTGAACTATTCCCCTCCCTCCATCCCTGGAAAAATTGTCTTCCACAAAACCAGTCCCTGGTGCCAAAAAGGTTGAGGACTGCTGTACTAAGATGTTTATCTCCATATTATATATGGAAAACCTGAGACACAGAGAAATCTGGTGATTATCCAGTCAATTCAAATCCAAATTAGCCCTATTCCAAAGCTAGTATTCTTGCCACCACCCTGCTTTATCTCCCTATAAAAAATTAATCATTTACCGAGTATCTCTAAGTACTAGACACTTTTACATGTATAATCTCTAGAGAAGCAAGAATAACTACAATTCTGCAGCCTGTGGAACGAAAACCACATTCACAGAAAGATAGACAAAATGGAAAAGCAAGGACTATGTACCAGATGAAGAAACAAGATAAAACCCAGAAAAACAACTAAATGAAGTGGAGATAGGCAACTTTCCAGAAAAAGAATTCAGAATAATGACAGTGAAGATGATCCAAGACCTCAGAAAAAGAATGTAGGCAGAGATCCAGAAGATGCAAGAAATGTTTAACAAAGACCTAGAAGAATTAAAGAACAAACAGAAGAATTAAAGAACAAACAGAGATGAACAATACAATAACTGAAATGAAAAATACACTAGAAGGAATCAATAGCAGAATAACTGAGGCAGAAGAACGGATAAGTGACCTGGAATACAGAGTGGTGGAATTCACTGCTGCAGAACAGAATAAAGAAAAAAGAATGAAAAGAAATGAAGACAGCCTAAGAGACCTCTGGGACAACATTAAACGCAACAACATTCGCATTATAGGGGTCCCAGAAGGAGAAGAGAGAGAGAAAGGACCCGAGAAAATATTTGAAGAGATTATAGTCCATAACTTCCCTAAAATGGGAAAGGAAATAGCCACTCAAGTCCAGGAAGCGCAGAGAGTCCCAGGCAGGATAAACCCAAGGAGAAACACGCCAAGACACATAGTAATCTCTAACCACACTACAACTTAGGTTTCACTTGGAAAGTCACTGACCAAGTTGAGAGAATACAAAGAAAAGCATGAAACCCACAACAACGCTACAACTCTATTAAAAATACCAAGAGTTTGAAATGTCAGTGTGCCCTCTTTTCTTTCATCTATTAATTCATCAACTATTTATTAAAAAAATAGCTATATCCCGAGCACTATTCTAGGCATTGAGGATTCACAACTCCCTGGCCTCTTGGATCTTACATTCTAGCAGACAGCTCTTTTACCAGCTAATTCGGCAAGTATTATTGTTACAGCACTTCAGAATTTTCAAAATGCTTTTGAAGACATTATCTCAAGTGCCCAAGAAGACGTAAACAGGTTCTTGAGTGCTGGACTTTCAGACTTAATTCTAGCTCTGCAGAGCCACGGGTGCTAGGCCATGATAAATATCTTTACTACAGTTAATTTCAATGTGTTTAGGGTTTCACTGTCTTAATCCGTTTGTCTTAAACTGTGCACAGAGATGCTGCAGGAGAGTTACAGCAAATTCACAGGGGGTGCCATGCAACAATTAAAAATTTGAAGGAGGACTTCCCTGGTGGTCCAGTGGTTAAGAATCTGCCTGTCAATGCAGGGGACAAGGGTTCGATCCCAGGTATGGGAAGATCCCACATGCCATGGAGCAACTAAGCCCGTGCACCACAACTACTGAGCCCTCACTCTAGAGTCCGTGAGCCACAACTACTGAGCCCATGCGCCTCAACTACTGAACCCTGTGCGCCTAGAGCCCATGCTCCACAACAAGAGAAGCTTCTGCAAATAAGAAGCCAGTGCACCACAATGAAGGGTAGCCCCTGCTCACCACAACTAGAGAAAGCCTGCATGCAGCAATGAAGACCCAGAATAGCCAAAAATAAAAAAAAAAATTTTAATTAAAAAACTTCAAAGGAAACAGAAACTTGACATCTGTCAGATGTTGTGAATCTACTGGCTTGAGATAGTTCACATATTTCAATACTGTGCTACATTCCTTAAGGTGATGTCATAGCTTTGGAAAGCTAGGTTTTGAGAAATTACCATGATGACAAGGAAGTACCTTGTGAAAATCAGTGTGGAAAAGGAAATGTCGATGGCAAAGCTCAATCTGTTCCCAAAGTTTGAGAAGTTAAGCCATGCTAGAGTGGCACACATCTCTCAGTGTGATTATTTAAGAATGATATAAAAATTTTTTTCTTTCAATATATGTAATTTTTAAGAAGGCTACTGAGTTTCTAGGACATACATATTTAAGTTGTTTGGACTTAAGTTGTTGGTAATAAACAGAACCAACTACTGAGTATTTCTTCAGACCTAGGGGGCACAGTGAATATATTACTGAGGCA